CCCGAAAAAAGAAGCCAAATAAACAACAAAATAATCCAAAAGAAACAGGTACCAGCATACACTGAGAAAAAGTGATCAAGTACCTTTCAAAATAGAGATTAGTTATTTGCGAGAGAGTTCCTCGCCCACGAGTTCTTTTCTTCCATCTTCTACGCTTTTCTATCTGTCTAAAACTTTGCCCCTCCCAGACACTGGCATGATAAAGAAAAGTCCGGGATATAATCGAACCAATTTTACAGAAGGAAAGAAAAAACAAAAGCAAAACAAACTATCAACAAAAAAAAAGAAAAAAAAGAAAAGAAAGGAAAAGAAAAGACCCCCGTCCCCACCCCCCCCCAACCAAGGAATAGTTGGGACATAAAAACCCGGAATCTCCCTATTTTGGGTCGGGTGTTTTTAATGAACCCCTTCAACGCTGAGATGTTTGTACAGACAAGAAAGTATTATATTCCATGTGGTGAATCATGCGCTCATTAAAATGAAATCGAAGAAATCAGCATTTTCCTGTCCGTTTGGCAATTCATTTTTATCGATTTCTTTTCTTGGGTCAACACCTTTTATGTCCACTTAAAAACACAGTTACGGTCTTTTCTGAATGGATTTTGAAGAAAAATTTAATCATAGGTGCACAAATTGTGAATTTGAAGTTTCCAAAGACACTCGAGCTACAGAATTTACACAATTTTAGTGGCCATTTTCTCGGTAATTTTGCCTCTCACATACAGCAACCCCACCCTCCTTCAGCTGCAGATTTCTCAACTTCAATTCAAGAGTATTTTTCCCCCCAAAAAAACCCAAGGCAAATGAACAGGCTTTAAGACTATAATTATATCGATAACTCCATATTCCCCAAACGTGACAAGCTCCTGCTGATTCCATCTTGTTGCAAAATAAACCTTGATGTTCATAACCGAAAAAGGTCTTAAAAAATAAAATGTTGAACTCTACAACTAGAGCATAAATGTTAGTTTGAACAATTTTATGCACTTCGTTAAAATATTAAACAAACAAGCAAGCAAACAAATTCTAAAAAACCCAACCAACCTGATATCCACCGTGAGGGATTTTTTTTTTTTGGATACATATTTTTCTTCTGTTATGGGTTTTCATTATTTAATCTTCTCTAAAGATTTCATCTTTCCTCAATTTACGACTATAGTTTGCGCGTGAATGTTAATCTTTGAAAAAGTGCAGCAGGCCTGGTTATTGGTCATACGTGAAAAACGTATTATAGCTCTTTCTGCGATCTGTAATCGGTGTGCCGAAGGAGACACACGCCATTGCTTGACGTTACCAATGTATCAGTTGCACCACTGGTTGTGTCCATCAGTGTCTTTTACGAGTCTCTTTGAGGATATAAATAGACCTGACCTGTATAGAGTGATAAGACCCTCGTAGAGAAGTTGTCAACAGTAGAAGAATAAGTAGTGTAATAGTGTATTGGTTTAACGCCCATATTAAGACTTTTAGATTTTTTTAGAGAGACCCCAGAATTCAATATCCGTATCCGATCGGACCGAGCAAAATGGGTTTTGAGCCTTGAAAACCCCACAAAACAACCCAAGTTCAAGAACACCCAGTCTAGGATTCGAACCAGGGCCGCATCCTTTCCGGTAGTCCATCATGATACCAACTGCGCCAACGGAGCACCCAAATGGAGAAGTGTTTTGAGTTACACGATTTTTAGATGCATACTGCATAATGTACCGTGAAGGCCAATAGTTGCAGTTACGCTCCTAATTTAGGTTACATAACGAGTTGTAAACTAGGCGATTGTTGAAATTTCTTAGTTCCTATTGTATGCAGCTTTGTATCAAATCAATGGCTATGAAAGTTTCACGCAAATACAATGAAAATTCAAGGAGTACAGCAGATAGATAACGTTCCTAAAATACTTTTTAGAAATATATTTTTTAAAAAGAAAAGTCAACACGCTGTTGAAATTTGACTATAGACCCTATGCTACTTTACCTTTCTGTTTTCAATAGCAAGTTATGCCAAGAATAAGAAGTTTCCGGTTCTCTTATAGCGAATAATTAGTATCTCGCAGAAGTGGTAACATCAATATAAACATCCCATGTCTCAAATACATTGTTGGACGCAAATGGGCAGTCCTGTCCGCCAGAGCCAAGGGAGCACATCGTGTATTTACTAGCATAATAATATTTTTTCTCGTTTGTTTCCCATAGATTATTATTTTTCGGGAATGTGATTCCTTAACTGGACAATGTCGAAGTTTGCGGTTCAAGACCGAAGAAGTTTAATCATTTTGTCTAAGTTGCGTTTTTATCAAAGACCTCTAAATCTATCTTCTTCTTTTTTAAACAACAACCCCCCTCCCCCCCCCCCCCCCCCAGTAAAAATAGGATATTTACAAATTGAGGACTTAGGTTAATTTTATTTATGGCATGTTCACGTTCGTTTGTTTGTACTTAGTAAAACATAAAATACACTTGAAACATACATGTGTGGCAATCATGGTTGGCAACGCCTTTTTCTGCTCCTATACGTTCTTTTTTTTTTAAAAGCTGTATCAATTATCCTCAACGGCTATTCATGGTTTGTGTTCTTTTTTTTTGGGGGGGGGGGGGGGGGGGGGGGCAGGGGGGGGGGGAAAAAATTTTTTTGGGGCCCCGGTTTCTGCCCAGGTAAGATTGAAGAATCCCGGACCAGCGGACTGACTTTGCCTATGTCTCAACCTTAGGAATTCATAATTTCCCCGTTTTTAATTATCTCTCAATGGAGAATCTCGAACCGGTAGATCTATTCATTAAAATTTTGACAGGGGGGAGACCCCCCCCCCCCCCTCCCCCCTCCTCCACCCCAACCACCCGCCCCACCTACCCCACTTTCTTGCCCAATAATGTATGAGTGGTCCGGTATTCTTCAACCTTCCCTCTGCACAGTCTTTTTGTACAGTTTTCTCAGCAAAAGGCCTTGCCCTTTGCCCTACGAGCACAGGCAAAACATAATAATCAAGCCCAAGATAATTGCGAATATTGTGATATTCGCGTGAAATCAATTCACCTTCCTCTTTTTCTACCGAAGTTGCGGAACTCCGGTGCAATATTCAGAATCGAAAGTAGGGTTGTCAACATTATTGTTTCAGATTTGGCATTTGGTCGGCACGTCTCTCGGAAAGGAGGAGGAGAGAGTGTTTTTTTGCAATTGTCTTAGTGCTAAAACACGTTGTCTTTGGTTGTTTCAGTCGGCCTTCCGAAAATATTGAGGAGAACACAATGAAAGCTATTATTCAACGTGTCATGAAAGCCAGCGTCACAGGTAACTTGCACTTTGACTTTGACTTTACTTTGTATTATTATTAATTAAATCAATATTTATCATTGAAAGATCATCAAGCAAAGGCTAATCATAATACACGACACGATGATTTAATTATAATATTATGAAATGAATGATAATCCACTTGTCTGTTGTCATGGTTCTAGACTAGTTACTGTAATTATAGATATTATAGATCTAATCTATATATGTGATCATGAATCATGAAGAAGTGAAGGGGGCTCTCGTGGCCTCTAGCCTCTAGAGGTTTTAAAGATGTTGGCCTGTCATTCAAAGGTCCCAGGTTCGAATCCGCATAGTGACCGAAAAATTTTCGGCGCTTTTTCGGTAGTTCCTACCCCCCTTATTTGATAGAGCCTGACCTACATCTAGAGTCTAGATCTATATACGTTTGATTCGCGGCAAGCTAAGATATCAAACCTAACAACTGCAAAACATTAAATTGTGGTAAAATTCAGGGGGGCATGCCCCCCTGAAACCCCCCACCTTGTTTTTATTAGGTCAGGGGGGCAAGCCTCCCTGAAACCCCCCTACTCTTGGGGCCAAAACCGGCGAATAACAAATGCGGGGTGGGCACTACCGAAAAAGCGCCAAATTTTCTTCTCTAAAATTGTCTCCTTTCACCCCCTTTTCTGCTCTCTAGCAATTTTCTGTCGTCTGTTTTCGTCTCCTCTTTCTGCCCCCACCCTCTCACCTCTTTCGCCCCCTCCTCTGGGCTGCTGACTCTTTCTGCAGCCTTTCTACTGCTACTCCTTGGCTCATTCTTAACCCCCAATCTTTTGATAGTAAAGATTTACACCTAGCCTTCTCGGACAAGGGCGAAATTTTAATCTCGAAGGGCCCGTGTGCAAGTTGTGCACGTTAAAGATCCGTTGGTCACACTTGGTGGTCTAAAGTCAATAAGAGTAGGCTTCGGGCAAAATTAAAAAATTTCCTACCAACTGAAAATATTAGGTGTGTCCCACGCGCTCAATATGACCTTTTGCAGTTGCGAGCGCCGTACAACCCCTCCCCCCCAAAAAAAATAAAAAAATAAATAAATAAATAAAAAGAAGTGTAGGCTTCCTCACCTTACCATTGTGCCATAGTGATGATAGTAGGCCGTAGGATGTGGGAGTCATAAAGATTGCAATTGTACTGCAGACTACATGAATAGGCCAGTTCATCTTCTAGATCTATAAATAGCTTGTTCACTTTCGTCTGACTGTGGCAAACACTATTACAAGGAATTTTTTTTATTGGTGTGTATATTATAGAGGTGTAAGATCTATGTCCTGCCCTTTGTTTACAGTTGGGGATGAAACTGTTGGCTCGATTGGTCAAGGACTCTGTGTGTTGGTAGGAATCTCAAGGCATGATACACAAAGGGAAATGGACTTTATGTAAGTATGAGATTAGTTGGCAACTTTCAATGTTTTTTAAAACCTATTTTGCAAAAGATAACACTACATTAAGCAGAGAAAATTGTGTGTAAAGGTAGGCTAGGATTAAGATTTGTGACAAATTTTTCATGTTTTCAATACTTCTTTTTTCAAGCGGTGGACTTCATTGATTATTGGAGAATGGCACCCCCAAAAAGGACTTTTGCTTTTGTATCATGTTGTTTGTCAACTTATTGTGAGGGCATTTTTGTTTTTGCATTTGTTCTATGGATGATAATAGTATTCTCAAATTTTATAATTTTTGTTGTTGCAGGAATGAGTTTTCGTTTTTCAAGTGTAATTCATATCTATAGGGAAAACCAGAAATGTTCATTGCTACAATGTCCTTATGTGGCTGTAAAGCATTGGACGGGAAATTTAAAAAAGAAAGTTTTGAGGTCATTTTGAGCCTGGTGGTTTAACCAAATAGGGTGATGTGTTAGTTGGAAAAGTACCTTAACCTTTTTGTGATTGAACTACTGCGGTTATATAACAATACTATGTGAATTATGGTGGTATTCAACATACAGACTACGTTTGCTGCATATCACCTTAAGATTGAGATAGTAAACTGGATTGCCCTGGCCTGACAAGGTAGTTTTTTTTGGTGAAGTCACCTGAGCTTTATGTGAAAACGGATGCATTCATGGTTATAATTATGCAGTTTATATTTTGACAATACTTATACCAGTAAATAGGACAACACCAATGTCTCTCATATAATATGTGTCACAACTTGGTGGAATCAAGCGCTCGTCAATTTTTGGGCATATGGGGTTAATGGTATCATCTTAAATGTTAGGCTATTCATTTGCCTTGCGTTGGATATAAAATAAAAAATATAGGAGGTGGGGTCGCCTGGTTTCAGAAGTAAAATTATCGAGAAAATGGCCGCCAAAGTTTGGTGACTTCCGTAGCTTAAGAGTCCTTGGAAATTGCAAATTTACAGTTTTTGTGCCTTTAATCAACGTGTTTCCATACAATCCACACATAAAGGTGTTTTTGAATGAACTTACAAGGTGTTGAACCCCCCATAAAATTGAAAAAATTCCAAACTGGCAAGAAAATGCTGATTTCTCTGATTTCATTATTTTGACGAGCACCTGATTTCACCACGATACCTCACATATATGGTAACATAACTAACAATCTTCTCTTGAACTTTTTAAAATTCATTATTGATCTTAACTTTCTGTTCTTTGAAAAATAAATGCATGCCTACCTACTTTCAGTATTTTTTAGCATGGTCATGACTGACAGTGCACACAATTTTGCAGAGTGAGGAAAATTCTGGGCCTGAAGCTGTTTGATGATGAATCTGGTAACCGCTGGAAGAAAAACCTGGTGGATCTGGACTATGAGGTTTTGTGTGTCAGTCAGGTAGGTGATTTAATGCTCATAGTATTAGGTACGATTGTGCCAAATCTCGGTAAGCAAAAACACTTGAATTGAAGACTAAGCCACTTATCAACTTTTACCTGGATACCTGGAGGTGTCATCTCTGACTCAGAGGTTCACGTGTAATGATCCTCCATCTTTCACAGCCATGAGCTGCCGTTGCACATTCTGCTATGTCCAGGCCAGTCCATGTTCTTATGTTGTCCATCCATTTTATTCTTTGTCTTCCCCTGGCTCTCCCGCCCCACATTTTTCCTTCAAGCACCTCTTTCACTACTATGGTCTTGTATTGTTTTAAGTGGCCAAAATATTGTATTTTTCTACATCTTGGTGGTGTTTGGTACTCACTCATCATTACTTCTCCTCGACACTGATAATTGTATGTTGCAAATATTACAATGTTTATGGTATTGAATCAATGGTTAAGGGCTGAGCTGTTTTGTTTATCCTTGTATCTTCAATGTTTTGTAGCCATTTCTGTCTTTTCTACATGTACATTTCTTTATTGGACATGACAACGGACATCTTGACAACTTCTTTGTTCCTCACAGTTTACTTTAGAATCGACATTGAAAGGAGCCAAGCCAGACTTCCACAATGCAATGTCTCCCGATCGTTCCAGGGGTTTCTACAATCAGTTCTTGGAAGCTCTCAAATCAAAGTACAAACCTGAAAAAGTACAAGGTAAACTGTTTTTCTTTACTGATATTGCACTTGTAAGAGAGAGACTAAATCTAAGAGGGTTTTTGTTGTTGTTGCTTTTTTTCTTCCTATTTAGTTCAGTTATGACTTTTCTAAGCATAGAACAGGTCAGTTTGAAGGTGGGGTACTTTTTGTAATTTGATTAGGAAATATTCTTTGGAAAAGGATAAAAGTTTAGGGGGGGGAGCATAGATTTGAAGCTGGAACATGAAAGTTTTGTTGTGTTAATGTTTTTGCTCCATGAATTTATTGCTTCACTCCCTTGCTTTATGTCAAAGCTGTGTGGAAAGAGTAAGCACTTTCGTCAGAGGATAAAATGTGAGGCAGAGTGGTGAAATCAGGCATTCGTCAAAATAACGAAATCGGAGAAACGCATTTTCCCGCCAGTTTGGATATTTTTACTGAATTTTTATTTTTTGGTATAACCTCTTTTAGGTCCATATAAAAACACATTTCTGTGTGAATTTTACTGAAATACATTGATTAAAGGCACAAAATATGTCATTTTCCAGTTTTCAAAGACTCGTTAGCTATGGAGTTACCAAACTTTGGCAGCCTTTTTCTTGTTAATTTCACCACTGAAACCAGGCGACCTCACTTCCTTCAATTGCTCATATCTTGAATTCTAGTTAGGATAAATGGATTTTTATTTCATTGAAAGCAAGGCAAATAAATCAGCTTTTAGATGAATCCAATACCTCCACATGCCCAAAAATTGACGAGTGCCTGATTCCACCACGTCATGACCCAAATAACACCTATTTCTTCAGGAAGAGCTGAATGGTAGGCTACAGTACAGTTTATGTTTTTGTTGATGAAGTGACATGCATGGTCATATTTTTGAGTTATGCTGATATTTACCTGCAGATGGAGCTTTTGGGGAATATATGCAAGTTCATATACAGAACGATGGTCCAGTCACCATACCTATAGAGTGTGTTCCAACCAAGGTAACAATTACTTCATCTTAACATGTGATAGTTGTGCTTGAAACCTTGATAACTAGGGCACAGGTCTTTTGTAAGTTAACTCACTGGAGACGGTTCACTCAGCATTTGCAAGCACCAATATTTTCCCGAGAGGCGGTTCGCGCAACCCCTGCAAACACAAGTTTCACGTTTTCTCCTCGGCACCGTATGCGCGCAAACGCTGCGTGAACCGTCGCTTACCTTGCAGCTGATCTTTGTTTCATTTCGTGCTAAGTTTCACCGGAATTGGCTGGAAACTTTCTGAGTTATCGACCCGGAAGGAAAGTTAGTCACACTGAGGCCCTACTTTCGTGTCTCTGACTGGTGTCTGTTCTAGCAACACTTTGTCAGTATGATGGCAGCACGTTTAGTTTTAGTAAGTTATACGGCACTTGCAACACAATAAGGTCGAAGATTAGGTGTTACAAGAGAGTAACAAACCCAAAAAAGAAGGAGGAGAGATCAGGACGATAGATCTTTGATAGGAAAGAAGAAGCAAACCACACCAGAGCACTCGCCAACCACCCACTTTGCAGGACGAAAAGCAAACATTTTTCAAGTGTTTGCACGACTTTGACAATTAAAAAAATTCTGATTATCATATTTTAGACCATGGGGATCCTGATTTCAATGTAAATGAGCATCAAAGCACTGATTCTGATAGCGAATATTCTAGATCTAGACTAGGCTATGTCTGGAGCCTGTTTTTTTCACACTGAAGTGGATTAGACAGCTAGTACCTAAGGATTACCATATTGATAACCTGCCTATTCATGAGGTTGGACTTTTTATTCATTTTGAAACACAAAACACAATAAAAGACACACACAAGATTAATTTTTGGGGTTTTTGTTGTTGTTGTTTTTTTACATAAGACATTACATCAGAAAATTTTGGCGAGCAACAAATTTTAGCACATTTAAAAAAAATCGTTTCTAAAAAACTATAAAAGATATTGCCTTTCTGATTTTTGTGTCATATTGGGCATGTTTAGATCTGTTATGTGAGTACAAATGGTGGTTGTATGTCTCTGGGAGGGGTGTTGCTTGAAATATTGAAATACCCCCCAAAACGCCAGTCTTTAGCGTATGTAGACCCGAAAATGGCCCAGTCTCCAGTGATTTTAGACAGATCTTAGAATATTTGCTCAAAAATTTTTCCTGTGTCAGGAATGATACCAAATGGTCATAAGGTCATAATTTTCTTTTTGTTTGAGTTGCTCATGTCGTACAGAAAGTGCATGTCAAGGAAACTTAAAGTTGCATCTATAAGATGATTTGTTTAGATGAAGAAGGGCAGTGATTTCCTAGCTGTAAATTTTCTCGTGTGATCCCGTAGACTATATGAGGAGCAACTTTCAATGAAAATGCCTAAAACATGTGGGCATCCAAACATTTGTAAAATTGATGTTTGATTAAATCTTTTGGTGGCAAATTTTAATCCAATTTTTTTTACTGAATATTTCCTTCCCAAACTAAAAAGCAAAAAAGGTTCATGGATCTTTGTATGCAACTCATAATTTGTTGAAATTAAAATGAATTTCTTTTAAAAGATGTAACATTTTCTGCTTATAGAAGCAGATAAACAAAAAATTCACCTTAAAATCTCAAATGTGTAACGCCTTGCTTCTCGTAGGTAAGTGTATTGTTGAGTGTTAATGAGAAGGGTGGTGAAGAGGGAAGGGGAACTAGGGAAGCATTACTTGTAGTTTGACATTTGAAAATATTTATCATGGATAATCTACCTTACTACATGTACTGTGTACTGCTTCCATGATGTTACTTTATCTGTTAGATTTAAAAAGTCAAAGGAACTTTTTTAAAGTCTGCCTCACTCTTAAAAAGGGTCTGCCTCACTGGGGCTTGTAATGTAAACCCTCTTGCATCCTGATAAGTTCCATATTCAGTCATGTTGACATAGAGACCAGCTTTTAACTTTAGACTCAAGACCTTAACAGGGGGGTAAAGATGATTAGGTCAAGATGATTTTCTATGTTTATTTTTGGAGAGTCCACAAATTTAATAGAATAGTTATTTTTTTGGAATGGGAAAAATGAAGCTTAGAAATGACAACTTTATGGTTTTTCAATTTAAGGGAACAATGCGTTAGAGAGTATTGTTTTTACATGATAGTGTATAAGGTGTTCTCAAAACAGATTTTGATACTTTGACAAACTAAATTTTTCTGGACTATGCTATTTACAAGTATTTTCAACTTTCCTTCTGAAGCATTACGAAGTGTGAGATCTGCTGGCGTTGTGAAAGGGTGAGAGACCTGTGGAGTCAAGATCTGTTGTTTCTTTCTTCAGATTGGAGACAATATCTTTCAAAAGCTGAAATGGTATAATAGTCGAATTTTGAAATTCAGAGCAAAGAACAATTTTCAAATACCGGTGCTCAAAAACGTATAGTAGAAGAATTCAAGTTTAGAGAGTGGGTTATTCAATCAACCGTTTTTGGTTCAATCCTTGTTCATTGTGCTATGAGTTAAATGACCTCGAAAATTATTTCTGTTTACCATGAGTTGAGGGTGGACTGTATATATTAATATTTGGTTTGTTTTTGTTTATTGTTTTGCAGCCTGAAGACAACAAGCCAGCAAAGGGGTCTTCTTCAGAAGCTTCAAAACAAGGAGCTGGCGAATCTTGATAGGCGCCATCCTGTTTATTGTGTGATTTTGTTGTTGTTATTGTGGTTTGTTGATTTACTGGTTCTGCAGTCCCCGTTTTGTCGACCAACCATGTCATTGTACCACATCTAGATTATGATTGAGTTTTTCGGGCATGATTTAGTGTTTTGTGGTTTAGAAGATGACAATAAAAATAAATATGATGCCAGTGTTTTCATGAGTTGGCCCTGCTTGGAAAAACTGATTGTTGAATTTTAAGCATACATTAAGTGTGTAATTTGGGTGCTGTTGTGTGTGGGGGGTTTTTTGGTGATGAAATCTTCCTAATTTGTTGTGTTTTAATTTTACCCCTTTTAAAAAAATTGTTCTTCACCTTCACATGACACAAAATGTCTGTAGTTGTGTTCTGTTTCTTAATTTCAACTCGGCAACACATACCTGTATAATTGGTAGTTTTTTGCTTGAAGAGTAAGCTTTGTAAAGTTGGCAGTGCGTGTGGAGTGTGTGTGTGAATCGTGAAAAAGGACTCCCTACGCTAATGTTTTAGTTTGTTTTGACATTTTGTCCTGACTTTTACAGGATTCTTGGTGGAATGGTAAATTGTGAAGTATATATGAGTTCACCTTGATTTTGATGCTGTGGTTTGCACCTAAATATATAACCTACTCTTTACTTTTGGCTGATGGTATTGTTGACCAACATGCACTCTGAACCACAAATTACAGTAGTCTCCGCCTAAGATCCCACCGCTTACGATCCCGGTTCGCTTAAAATCCCACTGTTTTAAGAAAACAGAATTTTTACTATACAAAAGTCACCCCTAAGATCCCGCTCTGATTCACTCTGAAGGTCTACATTCGGCTAAGATCCCGCATTTCAGATCATAATTTGCGGAAAAAACCCCGGGCGGGACAGCCGATCAACCAAGAGTGAAAATTTGAGATCAATAAACTGTCCGTCGCATCAAAGATCAGCTACTATCGTGAATGTGATCACATACACGTTGTAAAACTCGATGAAGCGATACAATGTTTGCTCCAGACGGGATCACACCGGGGTGTGACCTGACTGACACGTTTGTTTTCCCCGAACATCTCACTCACACCTGAGCTATCCCCCTAAACTTACATCACTCGCTGGGTGGGTAGGGCCTACACGTTCGCTCCTGGCGGGATCACATTGAACTGTGAACTCTTCCCTGACCATTGGAGAAGTTGTTTCTACTCCCGAATTTGCGAGACAGACTGAATTTTAATTGGTGTGTTCACAACGTAATAGTGTGTAACGACAAAGGCGGTTGGGGGAGATGGAAAGCTGTACATTTTCGACAGGTAAGGGGGAGGGGAGGGGCAACTTGATAAGCGTAGATCTTGAGCCTCATGATAGGATAATAAGTGAAAATGGCACGCCTCATCCCACTATGCCCTGTGATAGGTCATCAAGGTTAACCACTCTTTGCTCGCCATACGTCATAAACCCACCAAGCGGTCACGTCAGTTCATTTTAGAGTGGAGGGAGACCATTTTACCGATTGTAAGCCTTAACATGGGTCACCATAGATTCTTCCCTGGGTTCGTCGGTTAAGATCCCGGTTTGCCTAAGATCCCGCTTTTCCTTGCTCCCGAGCACCGGGATCTTAGGCGGAGACTACTGTACTAGAAATTTCTATTCAAACTGTTTTAACATTGTAGGGATTTTTGCAGAATTTTGGTTACTCTTAAATTGAAGTATATTAGTATTTGTCCAGTGAATGAAAGAGTGGTAGCTGTCAGGACAGATGTGAGGTTTAAAAAAAAAGTAAGTAAGTAACTGGTGTGCAGTTGTAATTCTGATCCCAACCTTGTCTTTTGGTTCTTTTGTGATGTCAATGGCCTCAGACTCGCAGCCATAAGGTTGTGGATTCGATTCTCATCAGTGACCTGACGTAGTGTCTTTGGGAAAGGCACACTCACAATTTTTCCTCATTTCATCCAGGTGGGAATAGGTACCCAGCTATAGGCAGCAAAAGGTCTTGTCAGTTTATCTGTGTTTGAGCACTTGCAATCTGCAGCTTGCCGTCTGCTTCCCAGGAAGCTGAGAATATTACGGAGTGCTCTTGGGTCTGCTGGGATAACAATGATTATAAAGTGCATAGAGCATGCTGTAGTATTGGGCGCTGTATAGATGCAATTATTATTATTATTATTATTATTATTATTATTATTATTATTATTATTATTATTATTATCATTATTATTATGATTATACACTGTAATGTACTTAGTAACTTTTCTATGCCATTGTGAACTCTAGGAGTGCTTATGAATTAATGCCTGTTGGTTCCTATTTGTTCTTGGGTACATTGATTTGTGATTGTGATACTGTTAGACTGAGTATTTAAATAATAGTGTGAGTACATGTATGTCATTGAAAATAAATGACTGGTACAACATCTAATTCAGCAGTATATTTATTTGATTGGAGTAAACTTATCTGCACACCTTGAACTTCAGCAGTGCCTTTAATTTATTTTCACCTTCACTTCAATCACTCATCTGTTGCTGATGGCTGGAGGATGCCATTGGTACTTTTAGTATCTTTCCCTTGCCTTTGTTGTTTCTGTCTGTCAGTCTATCTTGCTTTTTTCCCCTGCACTAAATGACCTTGACCTATTTAGTGCTTTGTAGAGTGTTGTCCTCCAGCAAAAACAAATTGTCGAATCATTTTTTGCCTTTCTCTGGGCTTCCAATATGAATGAACGCAGAGGAGCTGTGCCAATGGTACAATGGTATGGGCTCTTTGATGTGCAGATGAAAGGTATCAGTTTGATTCCCACCTGGAAATGATACATGTATTTTATGGAGTATTTCATTTGATTGAGATCCCACTTTTTAAAAATATAGGTGTTTTTATTTTATGCCCCAATCGCACAATTTAGTTCATATAGGAGGCGGGCCTCGAACACTGTCTGTTGTGGACTGTCTGGGCTGAAAGGTATGCAACATCCCACTAGAAAGACTGAGATATGTACTTGATGAAAATTTCCTTCTACACGCGAAGAGGTCTCCAGGTCTCCTGCTTGCGATAGCGAAGAGCCTACCCGCCACACCACAGACGCTGGTGAAACTGCTTTGACCAACCAAGGCTCTTCCGAAAGGGGGATATTAACATGTTCTTATGCACAGTAAAATTGTAAATGGGCCGATTTATCAATGTCATGCTCATACTGTGCTGGAACAAAATAGGGGGAACTGCTGCTTTTTCTTTCCTCGTCCTTACTATCGTCATTTTCCTCTACTTCTTATGTATGTTTGTCCTTCTCTTGTGAACTGCTATTTCTGAGGTGCCTTGATAGTCGAAGCAGACTTTGTGCTGTTGAGGCTAGAGAGGTGAGCAGAGTAAGCCTGATTCCCCGTTTGGATTTCTCTGTTGACATCCACCCCTTGGCGCTCATTTGACCTTGTGCAGTTGCGAGCGCGGTAAAACCTTATTAAAACCCAAACAAGCAACCAAGCAGATGTATAAAAAAAGATACCTGCTCTGATGTTGCAACATCAGTGGGCTATTAACTTAATTAACGATATTGGCAAGCCTCAGAGCAGTCGGTTGCGACGTCATTTTGTTTTCTATACCGGTAGCAACAGGACAGCACTTTGTGTCATGCTTTCAGCTAACTGAAAAAAATCAGATTAAAACCTCAATGGCAGTGACGACAACGACTGAATTTCCATGAAAAACAGCTTAACACTTTCTCTTTCTCGCCTGATACAGTACATGTATAGTAAGCTCTATGATATGACTATAATGCAGCCCTGGAGGTGGAGGGGTTAAAAACAAAACAAACAAC